CTCATCGGAGTTAATGTCACTCATGTGCTGCTACGCAGCACATGGGAGTGACATTAATTCCGATGAAAAAAAATTCCGTTATTTTTCATCGTACGCCCAATATCTTATACATATTATACCTTCAATTATTTATATATATATTTATAACTAATTAAAACATTATTTACCGCTTTGATATGATGTGTAGGCTGCAGCAAGCTAAAATTAGTTTAGAAAAGGAAGAAAAGCTTTGAATATTTAAGCTTTAAATTAGCCAATTTTTAAATCTTTTAATATTACTGCTTATAAACTAGCATTACCAAATTTTTTACAACCCAAAAATATATTAATAGCTTAAAAATTTTTTTAAAAAGTCTTAATTATATTGCATAAATTTATAAACTACAAATAGTTAAAAATATTAACAAATGCAATAGTAATTTGTATTAGTTAAAGTTTTTAAACTAGCAATATAACAAATTATTCAAAATAATAGTAATATATATATGTGTGTGTAAACAAACTTAATCAAATTCAATGTTTATTATAACATTAAATACCATTCTATTAACAGTCAAGCAACACAATTTTATAATTATTACTGTATAAAATAAAAAAAATTCAAGCCGAAATATAAAACAGATATCAGAATATACAATGCATATATATTAGTAAATATTATTCTGATGTTACGTATTTGTAAGCAATATAAGCTACGATCACTGCGACAGGTAAAAGATAAGTAAAAAGGCTGTTATTGGATTAAAAAAGAAAAAAAAGAATAATAATATCAGAGTTATATTAAGAACAGATAATAATTATTAGAAAGTGAATTGTTTCAAACCTGGATTCCTCTTTTGGTTGTGGTATACGTTTTGGAGTGGGTTTTGGTACAGGTGGCGGGACTCCCTAGTAGCGATATCGCAAAACATCATTTAATAAGATAATATTCATGGTCAAAAAAAAAAAGTTTTATTAAATATATAGTTAAAGTTAACCAGATAACCAAAACTTAACATATTAAGATTTAACTAAGAAATATTGAAAATATTTATACAGATCACAATAATCATTTTTTACTAACATCTTTCAATTCACCAATTTCTAACCCTTTTAAGATTTCAATAGCTTCGTCGGAATGTCCAACATCTTCAAATGCCTCTGTAGCATCCCGACCTGCTTCATCAAGAAGGACTTCTTCGCCTCCGGGGTGCTATAACAGAGAATTAATGATACATTATATTTAATTTACAACGCGTTGTTTTCATGATTACTAGCGAACAAAAGTTAAATATGCAGAATCCTAAATGCTCTAAACCTGCCTCGTCAATGAATTTTGTTACATCATAAACTTTGCCTTTGATTGAAATATACAACGATTTCTTGCTGTTGTGGTCAGCGAGTTCTTCGAGAGTGAATTGCTTGGAAGCCATTAAGATAAATACTTAATATTGTGTTTTTTTAAAAAAAAAGAATTGAACGGTTTATACGTAGATATTGTTCCTTCAGAATAGCCAATAGGGTTTATGTTGGGTCCTTATCATCAGTTGTACAATAATTCTATTCTATATTCGATTTAGATCCAATTATGGAGTAGGGTATACTTTAATAATACTGTAATATAGCTAATAGAATGTTAATCGCAAGGTGTACGTAGAAAAATCATCGTTTTCCCAATTGAAATCGAACACCTCACATATCCCACACCGTACTGATCTATACAATACGGATATTCTTTCGGCATCATAACTACCATCTTTTCAATGAATGCATCGGCGATTTGCCCATACGTGGAATGGAATAGGTTTATGCCACGAATTGTCGGATAAACCTTGTTCCCGTGAAAAAGGAATTAGAGTCACTTAAGTGGCTAGAATCAACTTGATTTCTCCGATACTTATTAATAGTTAGCAATAAAGATAACGATAATATTCGCAGTTTTAGTTCATAATATATATATATATATTGTATATATAATAATAAATATTACTAATTTTGGTTTATATTTTTACGTATAAGATGCTATATATTGATATACTGGATATATACATACGTAGAATGTTAGTTTACCACAATTGGCAAAAAAAAAAATTAACTATATTCTATAATAGTGTTAGTAATAGTTATGGTACGTATAACTATTCTATTTGATTTCTATACGTAGTGATGCAGCATATAAACCATGCAAGTATGAAGTTCTAACGTATATTACTCTGGAGTTTACTTTGGGGTATAATATTAACACATTATCCGCGGGTAATCTGGATGGCTACATAGATAAGTGATAATTTCAACATTTTATTTTTTATTGCGGTTTGCATAATTTGATTAAGCAATTATTATAAAACGCACCTATGATGTTCTAGCACCATATATAATTGTATTTAATAAAATTTAGGGTTAGGGTTCGGGTATTAAGAATTAATTTTTTTTATATAATATAATATAGAGCTAATATAAAGCCCGATCGTGAGGTTTTTGGGGGTCCTGAGCATTTTTACTTAGAGTACCCGATCCTGTTTACTTAGTATGTTTTTGAGAAATAGGTAAAACCGGCCAATTTACCATAAATCTGAGTTTGTGTCAGATTTATGATAAATTGGCTGGTTTTAACAATCACGGTCTTTAATCATAATACGTAATAGGGGTCACAAAATTATGCAAACCACAATAAATAAAAAATTGTTTTTTTAATTTATTTCATTTTAAATTAGTCAATTTTCAATAATTTCACTAATTTTTTCTATTAATAAGAAAGGCAGTTTCACCACATTACGTATGAGGATGGCACCATCCGGGTCCAATCGGTAGAGAAATGACGTTTATTACGTAATTTAATAAGAATGACCCTTCTACGTAACGGTAATTACGTAATCACCCTTAGCTTAGGTGCAGATTTGCACTTATTTAATTTTCCTGATGTGATAACTAGGGATGTTAATCGGTCCCGCAGTAATTGTCGCATTTTTAACCGGTATTCGTCCGTCATAGAAAAATAATTTTTCTGTTACATTTTCTAATAGAGGTTTATCGGTTTTTGCATTAGTTTTTGAGTAGTTTTGATAGGACCGATTAGGGACCGAGAAAATTTAACAAATCGGTCCCTAATCGGTCCCATTTAAATTACGCAAAAATTAATGCAAAAACCGACAAACTTCTATTAGAAAATGTAACAGAAAATTATTATTCTCTAACTTTATTTATTGGACGAATACCTGTTAAAAATAGATTAGAGTTAGGTTTCATTATTAATGTAGAAAGAGCTCCGTTAGTCCTTTGTTAATGTGCAAAAGGCAATTTTATGGCTGATAGGTAAAATGTTGAGTTACGAACGATGTCTTGGATTATGTTCCTTTTATCAGGATCAGTCCAAATTTTCCGGGTATAGACCACCCTTATCTAATTACCGTATAGACCAGAAATAACGCACAGGGGCGTTATTTCGAATCTCGGCCCGAATTAAGCTTAATTTAGGCCGAAAATTGAAATTACACCCCTGCGCGTTATTTCGGGTCTATATGGTACGTAGCAGTAGGATTAGGATGTTTTATTAGAATTACAGAATTAATTTGTTAGATGCATAATTTCTGACAAGGGTAAAATCGTCATCCGCCAACCAAATTGCAATAATTACACTGCCTTCTACACCCTAATAAAAATTTTTCTTGAAATATTTTTGTACTCTCAAATGGCAAGATACTAAACCTAACCTAACACCATGAATTTGAATGGCGTTTTTAACTTGATCTTGAAATTTGATTGGGCAGAAAAATTTTTATCACTCGACAATTATATCAAGAAATCAAAATTTTGCTTATGAAACCACTCTGTGTTCTAGTAAAAAAAAAAAAACATTTTACTATAGATTATACTCTGACCCGACCCTAACTAAACCCTTCTAACATTAATGTAAACCATCCGATTGTTCAAATGTAATCCTGTGACTATCACCGCCTGCAGCAACTAGATTATTTTTTTAAATATATATAAGCACAAAAAAAAAAACAAAAAAAAAAAGTTCTTTACTAAATTTACAAAATGATTATTAAAGACCTACGTCAACGACTTTTCTAGAGAAATGAGATTTCGAAGTTCTTTTTCATATGAAAACGATAACATAACTGTCGTTACTTTCAGTAAAAACGTCCATATGAGAATCGAAAGGGTGAACTTGAACGTTGCAAAGATTTATTTTGTTGATAGCATTGGCACTATTATTCCAATTCCAAACGACATTATTCTCAGAGATACTCTTAACATTAATAATAATGTACCCTCAGTGATGATCCGTGGTTTTTTTATATCTTGGATTGCTGATTTATTCATGGTGAAGTCTGCATTAAAAAATCAAAAACAGCAATTGATTGAGGGAGTAGTTACTCTATTATTCAGAAATATATAATTGTTGTCGGGGATGAAGCTGAAATTGAAATTTTGGCCTATTCTATTACTGTATTATGAAATTTTAAAAAATTTTCGGGCCTTTTCGTTAGGTTTTTTTTTAGGGTTAGGCTAGGGTTTAGGGTTAGTGTTGTTAGTAAATTTGAATGGGGGCTCTAAATTTCAGCATCAGCTAATTTTAGCATCATCCCCGACAATTATTAATAGAATCGTATTCAATAACATGAATACGTATTCAAATAATGATTTTACATTATTTATAAGTTTATACATCAGTGTTGGCATTTGGACTATGTCCAACAAAAATTTTATTTGGACTTGGACATGGACTAATCCAAATATATCGATATATAGTATCTTTTCCGAATTTTTCGGAATTTTTCGGACATTTACCCTAATTTGGCTTATTCTATCCGGAATGTTTCGGAGTATAAAGCTTACGTGTCTAAGTTCCAGGAGCGACCGTTCTAGTTACACAAATTACGAAAATCTCCGAAGAGGTGATAACCAATCAAAATCGTGAATTTTTGAAATAAAAAAATCATAAAAATTGTAAAAAAATATGTTGAAAACGAAGTGAAATAAAATTAATTAAAGACTATACATT